TTTATACTTTTGTTGCCTGCACTTTGAATTCAATACCTTACGCACAAAATATCATTGCCTGGCACTATGTGGATTTCCCTTTAAATTTTTGTTCTGCAGTATTTCAGTTTCAAGTGTTAGTTTTAGCCCTTTAATCCTTTTTGCTTTATTTTTGTTTTGGGTATTAGATTTAGCCCTTTAATCCTTTTTGCTTTATTTTTGTTTTGGGTATTAGATTACTTTGTTGTGTATCACTTCTTAGTTTTATATAATTTCTTTTGTCTATTTATACTTTTGTTGCCTGCACTTTGAATTCAATACCTTACGCACAAAATATCATTGCATGGCACTGTGTGGATTTCCCTTTAAATTTTTGTTCTGCAGTATTTCAGTTTCAGGTGTTAGTTTTAGCCCTTTAATCCTTTTTGCTTTATTTTTGTTTTGGGTACATCTTTCTTCATAAGGATGTACAGTTTTCCCAGCACCATTTATTAAAGATATTGTCCTATCCTCTGGCAGTTTTCTGAACAAAATTGATCACATATGCATGCTTTTCCTTCTGGGCCCTGTGCTTTGTTCTATTGGTCAATGTGTTGATTTTTAAGCGAGAACCATACTGTTTTGATAACAGTTACTTTGAACTACACTTTGAAATCAGGTAGATAAATACTCTACATTTGTTCCTTTGGCTCAAGATTAACATGTTTTTAATCATTTAGTTAAAATTTATTCCTAAGTATAATTGTGGTATTTATTTCAGTCTTAATTCATTAATTTTTGCATACAAATTTATTGGTTTTAGTGTGTTGATTTTGTATTCTGAAACTTTACTGCATTCATTTATTATTTCTAACAGATATTTTTCACTAAATATTTAGGATTTTCTGTGTCATGTCATCTGTAGACAGGTATAGCTTGACTTCTTTATTTTTTATTTTTATGGCTTTTCTTCTTCTCTTCTCAATTTCTTGGGCTTGAACTTCAAAAACTGTGTTGAATTGAACTGTCAAAAGTGGACATTCTTGACCTGTTCTGAATTCAAAAGAGGGATTTCAATTTGTTTTCATTTTATTAATTTATTTTTCTCATTTTCATTGGTGGGGGTACATTGTGGTATTTACAAAATGTGCTGCTAGTGGACAACCTTCACATCCCACATGTAAATCTCACATAGTCATGGTGACCTATCTGTTTTATTTGTTATTGAATTCAGTTTGCTAATATTTTTCTTGAGAAGTTTTAATGTAATATGACCAAAGATATTCACCAGAATATTTAACCTGTACTATCCTGGCCTGCTTTCATTATCAGGGTAAAGCTGGAATCATTAAATGATTTATGAAGTATTCTTTGCTCTTTGAGTTTTTCAAAGAGTTTGTTAAAAATTGATATTATCATTTTGTTCCTTTTGATAAAATTGGTCAGTGAAGCCATTCAGTCTTAGAATTGTTGTCATTGGGAGACATTTTATTAGTGATTTAGAGTTCTTACTCATTTTAGGATCTGTTTAGATTTTTCTATTTCTTCTTGATTTAATATTGGTTAGCTTCATATGTCCAAGACTGATCCTATAAATTATAGGATTATTGATTTAAACTATTCACAGTAATCTCACAGTGCTTCTGTGGTATTAATGGTAATGCCTGCTTCTTCATTTCTGCTTTTACTTGAGACTTCTTTTTGCCTAGCTAAGTGTTGATTCTATGTTTGAAATTGAAACTTATTTTATTGAACATTGCATTGATTTTCTAGTTGGTTTTGTAAAAATTTATTATTCCCTATCTTATATCACCTTTGGACTTAGTCTGTTCTTTTTCTGATTTCTTGAAGTATAATGTTAAGTAGTTTACTTTTTGATTAAATCATTGGTTGCTATAAAATTTCCTCATAGAACTAGTGATGTTACCTATCCATTTTCACCTGTCTCAAGATGCCTTTTAATTTTCCCTTTCAATTCCTCATTGGCCTGTAGGTTGCTTAGAAGCATGTTAATTTCTGTACACTTGTGAGTTTTGCACATTTTTTATGATTTCATTTTTCCCAGGATTTTGGTCAGATAAGGTACTTGTTATGATGTCATTTATTTTTGCAAAACTAGAGTTGAACTCTGGGCCTCATACTTGCTAAGAAATCACTCTATTACTTTAGCTGTTTTACAATTCCTTTTTGCACTGGCAATTGTTGAGAAGGTGTCTCAATTTATTCTCAGACTGACTTGGACCATAATTATCTTCTTTGTGCTTCCTCTATAGATGAGATGAAAGGCACATGACACATTGTCCTGCCATCTGTTAAGATGGGTTTCACAAAAACTCTGCCAGGACTGGACTTGAACCACAATCCTCCTGAGCTCTGCCTCCCAGATAGCTAGGATTACAGGCATGAGTCACACCTGGGACAAAATTCCTATATTTGTTAAGGTTTGTTTTGCGACCTTCCATATGATCTATTCTGGAGGATTTTCTGTGTATTATTGCATATAATCTGTTGCTGTTGGATGCACATTAGATTTCTATCTCTCTAGGATACATTGGTGAATATTTGGTCATTTTTTGAGTGATGACATTATTTCCTGGGTCTCTGTAATCCATATGTCCTTACATTGTAATCTGTGAATGTAAAGTAGTTGCCTCTTCAGGCTTTTCATATTATTTATTTATTTATTATTTAATATAATTTTAGTCGGGTTTATTGCTATTATAAATACTTTCCTATAATAGATTGAGACCATATTCACCTACCCTAAGACCCTCTTCTTTCACCCTCTCTCCTCCTACCATTCTCCCCACACACCAATAGTCTCCATTTTATATTCATGGTTTGTTCAAGATATCCCTATATGAGAATGCAATATTTCTATTTCTGAGTATAACAACATCACTTAATTTGATGTTTATTCTTTAGAGAGAGAGAGAGAGAGAGAGAGAGAGAGAGAGAGAGAGAGAGATCCTTTAGCATTCAATTGAGCCTTTTACTCTGACTCTGGATGAATCAGGGAGCAACGGACCCAGGCAACCACTGCCAGGATTTGTGCTCTGTAGATGTGGTGCCATTCCTGTAAATTTGCATGGAACGGTGGCTGGGTTATGCTGTCTGGTCAGACCATTGTGTTATAGTTAAACACTGAGCAGGATACTCAGGTAGAAATTTTCAGTACATGATAATAAAAATTTTTAGCAAAGATGCAACCCATAAGAAGTGATTTGGGTGATTTCTAAATAGTGAAAATATGCAAAATAAATTGTTCCACTCACTTTAAAAATTAGATAAAGAAATAGAAAGCCAAAAACATACAATTAAGGATTTAGGAACAAGAGAAAAAGAAACAAAACAATTTCCCATAAGAGATAAAAGTCCTGGGCACATGGGAGTTTTTAATATTGGCTCAAACATGGAGGATGTACAACCCCTAAAGAGAAGTCCCTAAGGAAGTAAAGACAAGCATGGTCTAGTGTCTAGTATGTAAACACAATCACCATTTCATTTTTACACTTGGAATCTTTTCCCAGGGTAGAGACTGAGAAAATGACTACCTTGCTTATAGTCTGAAGCTTTATGTCCTTACATGCATGTTAAACCATCTGGTGTCTCACTCATTGGCAAATGTGATGAGAATAAGGACGGCTTATTTTTTTCAGATGCATCAGAGGATTAAGAATTGTCATTACAAATCATGGCCAGCAGCCCAGAAAGATTTCTAGGAATATGAAACATTTAATTTTTGCTGCTTCTTCCTAGAATTGAAGTAACCAAAACCTTAGAGCCTGATATTGCCCTGGGATCACAGGAGTAAATCAGTGACAAAGAAGCACTAAGGTTTTCTCTCCTAAGGAGGGTAAGTTTTGAATTCTTATTTACGTTAATGTCTTACTTTTTTATTTAACACCTTTATTAAGATATGATTAACATGTAAAATGGTAAATGTGATTTATGTAAGCTGTTGTTTTGACCAACATTAGCAATGATGCTAATGTGTTAACATACATAATATCTCTAGGTAGTCATCTTTGTACATGTTTTTTGAATATTTGCACATGGTAGTGATTCAATAATTTTTAGCATATCCCATTAACAAATTCTAAGTGTACAATAAGGTATTGTTAACTATTGTTAACATGCGATACACCGGATCTTTAGAATCTGATTGTATTGCACGAGTAAACCTTTGTAGCCTTTGGACAGCATCACATCATTTTCTCTTCCCCTGGCCTTGGCAACCAGCAACCAGCTCTCTGCTTATGTGAGTGTAACTGATTTGAGTGACTCCTATAGGAAAGGTCATGCAGCACGGTTGTTTTCAATGTCTTGTTTTTCATGCTTAGCATAATGTCCTCATGTTTTGAGATGAAGTTCTAACATATGCCATTTTCTTTCCATTTTGTTTAAAAATAAGTGAAATTGATCCAAAGATTCTATTTCAAAGGGGGGCAGAGAATATTCAGGGTGCGTGGTCACAGTGGCTGCAGTATTTTAATAAGCAAGTTTTCTTTCCATAGACATATCATACCTTCTTCTAGATTTAGGAGATTCTGGAGCCCCAGGGCAGGAACTTTTCCATTCCCAGATTCTACTTATTTTGTTTTGGATTAGAAGCAGTATTCATGGATCTAACTCCATCACAGTCTGTTTTATATTTGAGGTCAGCACCAGATTTGCTAAGGCCTTTGCCTATAATTTTACCAGTGAAGCAAGAGCTGAAGCAACAAGGAAATGATGAGAGAAGTGCAATCCTATCTTCATCCAATCTGTTCCCCATTCTGTGGTTTTTCTAAGAGTTATGTTTGCATATGACAGCACTGGCCTTGTATCTGGAGGTTAGGTTGGTGATACCCTTTACTGTCTGTAGTCACTAATGCTACTCGGTATTGTAGTAGCATTAAAGTCTGGTTCTGTGGATTTAGATTTGTTTGTTTTAGTCATTCAAGTGTATACTTCACACTTTGGGAGAAGATTATTTTGAAATATCTGGGATGTCCTCTGATGTTGCCCTATTTCCTGTGTTTACAGATTCTCTTAACAGAAGAATGGGTCCTGCAAATGGCTCTTTGGTAACGGAATTCATTCTCCTGGGGTTAACAGAGCAGGCTGACCTCCAACTACCTCTGTTTTTCCTGTTTCTAGTAGTATATATGGTCACTGTATTGGGAAATTTGGGACTGATAATTCTCATTGGACTTAATTCAAGCCTTCATACCCCCATGTATTTTTTTCTCTTTAACTTGTCCTCTGTAGACCTCTGTTACTCTGCTGTGATTACACCCCAAATGTTGATGAACTTCATAGTGTGTAAGAATGTTATCTCTTACATGGGTTGTATGACCCAGCTCTACTTTTTTTGTTTTTTTGTAATTTCAGAATGCTATATGCTGACTTCAATGGCCTATGATCGCTATGTGGCCATCTGCAATCCATTTTTCTATAACACTGCCATGTGTCCTAAGGTGTGTTCCTACCTTATTCTTGCTTCATACCTGATGGCATTTTCTGGTGCCATGGCCCACACAGGATGCATCTTGAGACTGACTTTCTGTGATAGAAACACTGTCAACCACTATTTCTGTGATCTTCAGCCTTTGCTCCAGCTCTCCTGCACCAGTACCTATGACAGTCAGCTAGAGATTTTCATTGTAGCAGGAAAAGACATCATTGTGCCAAGTCTTATAATCTTCACCTCTTATGGTTTCATCCTTTCAAGCATCTTTCAAATAAGATCCACTGAGGGCAGGTCCAAAGCCTTCAGCACCTGCAGTTCCCACATAATTGCTGTTTCTCTGTTCTTTGGATCAGGAGCATTTTCATATCTCAAACCCTCATCAGCTGGGTCTATGGATGAAGGAAAGATCTCTTCTGTCTTTTATACCATTGTGGTTCCCATGATGAACCCCTTAATATACAGCTTGAGGAACAAAGATGTTAAAATTGCCCTAATAAAAACCCTGAGCAAGAGAAAGTTTTGATCAGAAACTGAATCTCTTAGTGCCTGTAGTTAAAACCGAGGGAGATTCATTGTATTTTATTATATTTTTAGGAGCAATTTTCTTTATCTTATTTCATTCTTACTATGGAGAATGAAATTTGGAAATTGTTTCCAGAAAAGTTTTAAACCATGTTTTTCCTTTTCCTATACATTTTGTACAATTTCGTTTTGCACAATTTTATGTGTTTAAGAATAACATTGAGGAATTCTCTTACTGCTTTATAATTGTCATGGATCTGACACTAAAATCTAAAGATTGGTTCTGCTAAAGAATAAACAAAAGAATACTTGGTTAATAGTTTGCTGTTGGGCAGGAAAGTTGCTATCTGCCCTTTGTCGTGAAGAGTGATTTCAATAATCTATCTCTACTCTTACGTTTCTATCCTCTATAGGCAGTAATACATCTCTTTAAAAGGCCTGTGTTATGAATCTGATGTTTCCATATAGACTAATTGATACAGCCCACCTTAAATTTGTTAATACTTTGCATTAAATGCTTGAATGTCAGATGCTATATGTGCCATTAAAAGATTAATCAGCACATACCAGAATGCTAATATATATTTCTTGTATGAATAGGATTCTGAAGCTCAGAGAGATTAATATTTTACAAAAGTCACAGAACTCCTTAAATAAAAAGTCTAGAATAAACTGCTTTGAAATCAAGTACCACCCTTTCTAGAATAGTTTTGGATACTTTCTTTTGATGAGCTTTATTTCACTGAACATGAAATATGAGGTTACATTTCTACTTTGGAATTTCCCTGTGCTTTTTCTGTGAATGATACATAAATTCATTTAAGGTTTTTTGTTGCATTGCCTTTTCAATCAAGAAAACCACTTGATGGTCCTTTTGGTTGTGAAAGAGGAACGCTGCTGGAATGGGACACTTGGGAGATAATTGTCTTGTCATTGACTTTCTTTTCTGAGACACTATGTCCTTTAGGAGGCCCAAACATGCCTTGTACTTACAATTTTCTTGCCTCATTCTCTCAAGCACTGAGATTGAGGAATAAAGGAAAAAATGAATCTGATATATTTTTCTATCTTATATTTGAGAATCTAGGGACTTGGGTCAGCATGGACCTATTAGGCCAGGACCCAAAGAGACACATATCCAATAAATCAGAAATATCTGTGTAACAGAGTCATCTATGAGTATAAAGTTACTTTTATTTCTGTCTTTGATTTCTTTTAGCAATATCTACTATTTCTCATATAAATGACTTTAACTTCCTTGGTTAATTCCTGTCTATTATTTTTGATGATATTATAGTAGAAATCTTAAATTTGATTTAAAGAAATGCAGCTATCTTACTTATTGACTTTGTATCTTGCTAATATGCTGGATTCTTCATTTGTTCTAATACATTTCTTTGTAGAAACTTTAGAATTTCTACCTATAAGATCATATCATACACAAACAGGTAAACTTCTGCTCCTTTCTAACTTCAATGCCTTTTATTTCCTTTATTAGCCTTGTCATACTATCCAGTACCTCCAGTACTATGATGAACAGTAGAGCCAAAAGTGGGCAACCTTGCTTTATTCGTGATCTTTAGGCAAAGTTTTCAGTATTTCAGCATGGACTATGATATTTACTGTGTCATATATGACTTTTATTTGTTGAGTTGCCATTCTTATTTTGTTAAGTGTTTTCTGCTAAAATTATGTTGATTTTATAACCTGCTTTTTTCTGTAGCATTTGGAATGATCACACTTTCTTCCATTATTCTGTTGCTGTGATGATTTACATTACTCGATTTAAAAAAACAGGTTTATTGAAACATTTTCATACCACTTAATTTTTGTATCAGTAAGTATAATCAGTATATTTACAGAATTGTGTGACTTATCACCATTACATAATTTCAAAACAATTTTATCACTACTCAAAGATGGTTGGTATACTTTGCATACATCCATGGAAACAGAAGACTGACAACCATTGAAATTATTCTAAGAAGGGCGAAGGGTTTATGAGGGAAAATGATGGAGGGGGTGAATGTAATGAAGTTACATTGTAAGCACTTATGTAAATATAAAAATGAAACCCCACTGTACAAGTAATCCATGTTAATAAAAATGTTAATAAAAGGAAGTCTGCAGTCAATACTTATTCTTCAAATCCAATCCCCTATTGGTCCATGAAAGGCACTAATATTTCTATTTCGTTAAATTTTCCTACTCTGGAAATTTCATAGACATGGGTCCATGAATTATTTCGTCTTTTGTGATTTTTTTCACAAAGCACATATTTTCAGGGATCATCCATGCTTCAGAATGTAAAATAATTCATTCCTTTTAAAGTCTCTATAATATTCTACTGTGTTAACCTAAAACTTTGTCACTAATTTATTTATTGTTGGACATTTGGGCTATTATTACTTTTTGTTTTTTATGAATAATGCTGCCAAGAATTTTCATTTGCTTTATATATTTATATATACATTTGTGTGTGGACATATGTTTTCATTTGGCAGACAGAGACAGAATGGCTGGATCACAGGGTAACTCTATTTTTAATTTGTTGAGGAGCTTACACAGTATTGTTCAAAGTAGCTGTACATTTTACACTCCTAACAGAAATTTGTGAAGGTTCCACTGTTTTTACATCTTCATCAACCCTTGTTATTGGCCATCCTTTTGATTACAGCATCTGTAGTCCTAGTGGGTTATGTTGGAAGCTTTATAACAAACTCAAACAAAGATGACAGGGTTGCCCTCTGATTTTCACAGAGTTAATGAAAATTCTCAAGCAAACATTCTCTCTAATTAGCCACAGGGCACAACAGCACAGGCTGTAGATGATGGGTCAATGCTGGCACTTTCCTGTTCCTACTACCTGTGTTTCTTTCCTTGATGAGTCAAGGACAGGGTTTCTCAAGATGCAGGTCCCAGACCAGCATCATCAGCATCATCTTGGGAATCAGTTAGAAACTCAAAATGTTGACTCCGTTTCAGAGTTTCTGAGGTGATCCCCAGCTCTCTGTGATTTCAGATTACTGTAATGACTCCTCAAGGTCAGGGGAAGGCAAAGGCCCTATAGAAAACTTTTGCCTTTGAACTACTTTACTTGTGGTAAATAATATTCACCAAACACATTATTTATAAAAATGAAGATGATAAATCCATAGGAAAGATATTTCTTTCTCTGTCTCTGTCTCTTTCTCTCTCAATTTTTCTTTCTTATTTTCTTTCTCTCTTTCTCTCTCTTTCTTATTTGCTTTCTCTCTCTCTTTCTCTCTCTCTGTGTGTCTCTCACTCTGTCTCTGTCTCTCTCTCTCTTTCTTTCTTTCTTTCTTTCTTTGTTTTTGCAGTATTAGGTATCAAACCTTATGGTAGGCAAGCATTCTACCTCTTAAGTCATGTCCCCAGTCCAGGAAAGAAGTTTTTGAAGGACTCAATAATGAAACTTGAAGGTTTGAACTGTCTAATAATAAGTGACATTACTGATGTAAAATGTTTACAATTAATTGTGAACATGTGAAACCTAGGTGGAAAGTAAATAGGAATTCCACAAAGAACCAATGAATGTCCCAGGAAGTAACCTAATTTCCCTCACACTTGCTGTTGTAAATATTTCATTCTTTTCAAAACTTCAAAGAACACGGTCTCATAGTTCTTTATTTCATTGGAAATAGAGTGGCTGAGAAACTCCAGAGAATAGTCATTTAAAATGGTAAAGATGACATGACATAGATCACAAATATCCGGTACCCTTTTATGTTCAACACCATCTTAAAAATTAGGGGAAATATTTTTAAAATTATGACTGTGTATCTCTGTCATGTACTGCCATTTAGGAATCTTCTTCCTTTGGATATATGCCCAGATGTGAGACAGCTGGGCTATATGGTAGACCTACTTTTAGTTTGTTCAGGAATCTCAGGAAGATATGTCCCATCACTTAATGACTTGTTTTTATGTCACCCTGTGGTGATTGTCCAGAATATTATTAGCAGGGTTCTTTCTTCAGGAGATTTGTTCTTACATGTCTTAAACTATAAAATGAATGAATTGAACTACATCACTCCTTTTGCCTGCCTCAAAAGGAAACTGGAGATAAATGAAATCTTCCAGAAATTGATCTTCTGGTTACATGACAGTTTGAGATCATTACAAAAGGTCCTCTCCAAACGGACCCAACTGCTCTGAAGCCACAAAACATGTACGAAGTTCCCTTTGGTCCACTCTTGGGGCTGTGGGATTCCAGGAAGAAGGCATTCAACTCATAGGACACATGCTGAATTTACATGTCAACAGATTCTGGGACACCATTAAGGGTAAGTCATTGGAGTAGCAAAGAACTAGTTATGCTTAGGCTGTGGTACAGGTAGCTAGTGATGCTGACAAAAACTATGGACAGCTGCAACCTGTGCTGGTATGTGTCCTCATTTTAGTATTTAGAAAGATTTAGTGTTTCTTTCAGGTTGCTCAAGGAAACTAAGTGTTGACATTCAGTAAGTGTATTTTTATCATGCTTAGTTAGCCACGCAGTGTAACAAGATGTTTGCTTTGTGGAGACTTCAGCACCTATAGTCTATTGAGGAAATCATATTTCTTCTCGAGACTGGTGAACAATGAGAGCAACTTTGCATTCTTTGTACTGAGACACAAAAATCTTGATGAACTTTGTCCTTTTCTCAGCTAGTTCATCATCCAGATACCTGGGTCATTCAGTGCTCTGCTTGGCCTAGGACTGGTTTGAAAACACTCTTTTCTGCAAAGATTCCAAACTCACATCTGGCTGTCACTGGATCATTTCCTTCTGTCACTTTCAGGGACTTCATTAGAAATCATGACAACTTTTAACACTCAGACTTCACCTCACAGCCTCTTGAGTATTTTTCCATTTGTGCCTGCTTTCTAGAAAGTACTTTGGACTTCTGCAACAGCTTTCTATGTGGTACCCTTCTTTGTCTCTTCCAATGCATTCTCCACACTGCATATAAGATTTTTTTTATATGTAGGCTTGAG